AGTTATCACTTTTATGCATTTCTTGCTGTTCGATTACCCGATTGAAAGAATGCAGAAGCCACGAACATAAAAATATTTGTGTTTGTGCATCGGCAGGCATTTGCTGTCGTATTTATGCTTGTATATTGGTTGTTGTTGCACACCGGTGTACTTTGTGGCTTTCGAATTACAAAAGCCTCGGTTAGCTATGCAGCCATTGCAACATTTCTATTATCTCACCCGCTCCCAAATGCATTAAAATGTCATTGCTGCGCCAGCAAACTCATAAAGTATTCAATTTATGGCAACACTACCGAGTTACGATCGGCCGCTTCGGCGGCATGGCGGTGTCAATCGGGTGCGCACATAATCAAATCATTGAAGSCAACACTGCACATATCACCAGATATATGTATATGTATGTATACATACAAAAAATGTATATACAATGTCTATATGTTTTGATTTCGATTTTTTTTTTTTTGTATAAAAACCGATAATTGTAAACACTCGCGCTTGTTGTGAGCGCTGGAAATGATAGATATCTACTGGAGTGATTGATTTTTCATGTGCATTGCACCTACTAAGCCTCTATATGCTTGTAAATATTTATCAGAAAAGGTGCATAAAACCATAAAAATGGACACAGTTTTTGGGTTATCTTTTCAACATCGCCCTGTGTTTGCGTTAGCTAATGAAAATGCCAGCTCTAATTTTGCAATAAACATTGGAAAAGTATTCACTTCATTGAAAAATTCTCTACTTTGCTTTATTAGCTAAATCATTTGGTGTAGGTGTAAATAAATTCTGGAAACATTTATTTCTTCTGTCGAAAGTACGAGTAGTTAGGAAATATGCGAACGGCTCATTTTCTATGTTTTAAGCGCTTAGTTGTTTCAGTCGATGTGTGAGAGCTTTTCGGCGGTTGGTTTTCCTGACTTCTTGAAAGACAATTGGCAAACAATTGGTTGTGTACCACTCAGAAGTGAAAGCTCTGGATTGTTTTAGTTTTAGGGTTGCTACATGTTTAGTTATTCCATAAAATCAGGCAACCATTTGCTTGAAAGTGCTTTGTGCGTGTGCAGTTTTCGTTACATTTGGCTCATTTTGATATACCCACATAGTCGACTGGTGTTTACGTTCGGACATAATCCACAATTCTTCACTTTTTATGACATGATTGACGCTTTTCGAAGTACCGTTATAGTATTTTTTTGTTTTTTTTTTATTTTTTTATTTTTTCTATTTTTTCGACCAACAATCCGAGGCTTCTTTTGAGCAATCGACAAATTATGTGAGATCTCACCAAATGTTCATACAATATTGARTCTATGCTGGTCCCACTTATGCTTACAGTTGTCTCAATGCCTCGACCAAATCAACATACCATCGTTAAACAAGGATGAAGATTCATCGTCAAAAATTTAAGTTCATCGATGCACTGYTGCTGAGATAATTCCTGTTGAAAGTTTTAATTTAATTTTTTGTGCGAGGTGAAGATTTTAAGTTACTGTAAACAACCCAACTAGCGCTCGCATGTCAAAACGTTCTGGGTATGTATAACATCAAAAATGTCAAACTTTATCACAAATTTTTGACTTGCCAGAAATATAAAAGGCAGCCGGCGTATTTTATAGTGTATCCGACGTTTCTTTCTGGGTTTTACAAATTTTGTGGCAAACTTAATATACAGGTTATAAATACACATATGATACTATTTACTATTCTATTGAGACCCAAATCTCGGCAATGCTCGTGATCTTAGACGTTGCAGCAACGTTCTGGGGCACTCAGTGTCGAAACCAAGAAAAAAGTTCCCATAAACATCTATCTTGCTTGGAAGCGTCGTGAAACCGGTCCAAACGGATACATCAAATCGACAATAACGAGGAGTAGGTTCTTCCAAGCTTCAAAAATTCTTAAGTTAAATTTGAATTTTTTGGAAAACGTTTTCTTGCGCTGCTACAAAAACCACCAAAAAATATCGTCTCTTTGGCAATATCGTTAACGTTCTTGCCTTTAGATCATGTGATAATGTGAGGTCATTTTGTATGTATGTATTGAATACTGTTATTGCCTAGGTTTGTTTTTTAGATTTATGTAAATGATGAATAATCGATCCGTCATACCTCACTTCTCGTAGTAAAACCTCTCTCATCCTTTACATTTATTTATTTAATTCGAAATTTACCAAGGTCATATCTTGGCACATAACATTACATACCACGCACGTTTAATTTATTTAATTTGAATGTTCATTAAATAAACGGATAATCTAGTGTTGCACCCCCGCCTGTCACCGCTGCTAATCGAACCCACGTCGTTTGCGATCTCTCGGCTTTATTGTTGCAATAAGTAGAAATTGAAAGCTCACTTCCTGGCTCTACAAACGTTCATTAATATTTACACAAAAAATGTAATAGCAAATAAATACAATGCTGCACTCTCGTTTTCCATTTTCTTCAGCTTTGTTTTCCGCCCCACCCACTCAGCTCGCCCATACGGCCTCCCGTTCTCAAACCATTAATGTATTCAAGACGCGTGTCACGCGAGTAGAATTCTAGAGAGTTGCGTGTCTGCCTGTTTGCGTGTTTGCTGGCTCTGAAAATGTCACTGCCACCAGCAGCAGAGGCAGGCCTCCACAAAGGCCGCATCAGCGTTATGGGGCTATCAGTATCTCTGCGTAAGCCTACCATTATTTTTCCTTTCAAATCCGCTTTATTCGGCACATTTTGGCATTTTTACTTTGTTTCTTTTATTTTTATGTTTGGTTTCCTTTCGTTCGGCCTTTCCTTTATTTATGCCTTATTTATACCTTTTAGCATATTGCTTCACACCTCCGCACACCCTTGCATATGTGTTTGGTAGAAATTCGCCACGTTCTCGCTGAAGGTGTGTCAAGTAAACTCACATTTTTTTATTTGAGGAAATAAAATTTCATTTCATTCCTTTCTTCTGATTCCTTTATGTAACTGTCTAATTGACCGGACACTGCTTTAAGCTCCCAAAGGGTTGTCATGTCTTGAAAGCAGAGCAGTTGAGTAATAATACTTGTTATGACAAATTTTAGGTTTCTTTTATTCAAATCTTCTAAAATAACTTCTCATTTGTTTATTTATTTTTCTATAATCATACTCATGTACTTTTGTATGTATGTTAGGTACATAAGTAGGTTGGTTAGCTGGTAATATTCTGCTTTTTATTTAATGAACAATTCCATTTTGCTTGTTTGGTCGCCTGCTGAGTTGTGAAGTGTTTTCCTGCATAAAAATCAATAGCAACTCGCTTCTATCATTGGCTTGCGCGTGTGGGCTTCGTATGCTTTATGCGCTTGTATGAGTGTGTGCGTGTGTGTATATAGAGTTTGCCTTGCAACATATTCCATATTATTCTTTTTAACTTTTGTATTTTTATACTTTTTATAGTGCGCACTTATCTACATTTCGTTCATGTAAAATATATGTATGTGTGTGTGTCTTCAAGTACTTAACACTAATGTAATTTTTATGCTTATGTTAACATTAAGCGTCCATTTGACTCGCTTTAGTGTGGACCAGCTGAGCCTTAATGGTTTTACTGAAACACTCATATGTGGGTAGATAATAATATTTATTGGAAAGAAATTTTAAAGCATATTCTATCGCACTCGCCCTGATGTTAGCTAAATGTTTTCGAAATGAAACTGAACTCAGCAAGGATCGAAAGCGATGATGAGATCATCTCCTTACCTATGTTGTGACGGGGTTTTAAATAAGAGCGCTACAAAAGTATTTTTGAATAAAACAAAAACGTTTTGGGATATTAATGAAATTCTTTATTCCTGTGAAAGTACATTCGATGCCATTATGTATGAAACTCGACTTCTTATGCGGGGCATAGACCATAGACTTGGCGGAGCTCCACAGGAAATAGTCTAACGGTGTCAAATCGCACGACCAAGGCGGCCAATTCGCCATTTCGTGRGATAACACGTTCATCAAACTTCATCGGTTGTGATATTCGCTGTGTGGCTTGTGGTGCCGTCTTGTTGGAACCACATATTGTCCAAGTCCATTTCATCCAATACGGACAAAAAATATTCGGTTATCATAGAGCGTTAGCTAATTCCATTCACAGTAATGTTCCCGACTTGATCATCACGGAAGAAGTACGGCCCACAAACCGCACCAAACCGTAMTTTTTTCAGCATGAAATGGTGACTCATGGAGTACGTGTGGATTGCTGACTGAGCAATAACGCGTACTTTGCTTAYTGCCGAAGCCATTCAGCCAGAAATGAGCCCCTTCGCTGAAGATGATTTTTCGATGAAATTCCGGTTCATTTTCAAGTTGTCCTCTGCCCTTCTTTGGTCAAATCGAACTTGTAAATATGTAGGTCAAGATCTTTTCTCGAAATTCGCCACAAAGACGTCACAGAGTTGCCCAACGCTTGAGAACGAGGTGTGAGAGACTGATTTAAGTCTTCCTCAATTGTTGCGCTAGCGGCAGCAACATTCTCTGCACTACGGGCACTTCTTTGTCTCACTGGCATGGGAACTTTTCGTACTGTTTCAGTGGATTCAAGTTTTTCCACTAGACGCTCAATAGTTGATCTGACAAGACGATTATGACAGCCTAAAATTGGACGTATCGGTCTTAAAGTTGATGCCACTGACTCCGAATTTCGGTATTAAATTTTAATGATTTCGACACGCTGTTGGATCGTATATCTTTCCATGATGAAATTACAAACCTTACTAATGAGAAATGTCAAAAGAGCAGGAAAAAATATGGCGTCGTTTGCTGTCCCTATCGGTCTACTTTTGTAGTATCCCTATTGAAAAAAACCCTTTAGTTATGTCGTTTCTGTTCGTTTAGCTTTCAACTGTTTTTAAGCTTTCAAATGCCGTTTCTTGGTCTGTAATATAAAATGACATGGTATATAAAAATAATTTATACATACATATCTATATATGTATATGATTCTAAAAAATATGCGAAAGTAATTATGTTTTCTAAAATCTGTTTTTTTTTTCTTTACAGTGTTACAATATACTGTTAGTAAAAAGGTAAGCAAACTTGCAGTGAATCTAATACCAAATTTCAATACTTATGTATATTTAGGTAGTGCATAACCTTCGCTTGAAATCAGCTGATTATGCGCGCAGATCAGACCATCTCTATGATTACTTTATTATTTGAGCAGACTTAATGGTGTCCAACTTTATCAGAGCCATTGCTGTCTTGCCAAATGTGGCCGCAATCAAGCAGCCATCTAACAAGCCGTCCATTCCACCAAAGCAGCTTTCAATTTCAGCGAGAAAAAATTAAAACCGCTTTCTTTCATGAACAGTTACAGCGGTAGTAGCATATTTGTCTGTCCGTCTGTGGATTATTGCTCGTTGTTATCGTTAGTTACTGTTTCTACTGCGGCGCTTGYTGTTGTTGSAGCCACTTTTGCTGTTTCGCTTTTCACCGCTGCCGTTGCTGCTGCTGGCGATGCTATCGCTGGCGCTGATGCTTTTGATGATTCCGTGCCTCCACTGCATCCACACCCAACAACCGCCACACACACCCACATACATACGTGTCTACGTACATGCGTTTTTCTGCCGATTATATCTGTGCACCGGTGTGTCTGTAGAGCCATTTGTTCGCAAGCACAAAGAATCCATCATCACACCGCTGCTGCTTGTGCTGCTGCTGTTTTGTACGCGTTGTGCCGAGCAGATTTCAACATGTGTGCCAAAGTGGCCATTAAATTGCGCTCCAGTTCAAAACAAAACGAAACTCAACAAGCAGCCGGCACACCAGCGAGGCCCAAACAAAAGCAAAGAGCAAGCAACAATATAGTGGAACAAGAGTCTGGAAAACGCTACTCCAAAAATGCTAAAAAACGAAGAAGCGTGAAGCTGTAATTCGCTTACTTCTACCAACATACACACACACGTGTGCTTCATACTGGAGCTCTGGCAGGCAGCTTCTGTTGAAAAAATAACACATCATAAAGTACATTTTTTAATAATTAATGCTCGTACTTTTTATGTATAAACATACATATGTATATCATGTATGGTGTAGGTGCATGTGTATGTGTGTGAGAAGTGGTCATAAAGGCATAAACTGTGATTTTAGAACTGCCGCTTGTGTTGTTGTTGAGTGTGTGAAAACTTGAACGTAACAATAAAATAAAATGATACTCGACTCTAAACTCGTGAGTTACGCGCACATTCGTTTTTGTGTCGTCTACAGCAAACAGTCGGTCACRAAAGTATGGCGATAACAGCGGACAAGCTTTATTACTGAATCAGTCTCACTTAAGCCAAGCGCACTAGTTTTGACTTAGGAAAAATTGTTTWGTCAGTTTGATAATTTCTCGCCAATACAGAAGAAGATAATTTTCCGTAAATATTCGGAGAAGTTTTTTAGCTACAATCACACAAGTGTGGAATGCATACCGTTAACCTGTTAACACAGACCTCTAAGCCTTGTCTGCATTGAAAGGTTTTTAAAACATTGGCTCATCACCGTACCCACAAAATATTTTTAACGACCTTTAGGGAYTACCTGGGTTTTGACGGCCGAAAAGTGCCTATTTTCACCATTTTTTTATACTCTCGCAACAAAGTTGCTAAAGAGAGTATTATAGTTTTGTTCACATAACGGTTGTTTGTAAGTCCTAAAACTAAAAGAGTCAGATATA